CCCCCCGCCCCTAGCCGCTTGCTCCCAGACCCGGGAAGCGTGCACTGGCCACCCCGCAATCCTGTCCTGAGGTGGTAGCTACACCGAGAAGGACCTTGCTGTTGAGGGACCCAGGGGTAGGGAGGCCATGGGGGTGTGCCTGGTGGGCGGCTGGAGCCAGGTGGGCAGAGCGGGGTGCAGAGGGAGGGAGTTGGGCACCTGCACCGCAGACCCACGGCCACCACACGTGCTCTGTGGGGGCAGCCAGGGAGGCCAGAGGACTCTATTTGCCCTGGCTCTTACGAGGGTGGGCCAGCAGACACGGTGCGGACACAGCTAGGGTCAGGCTGTCAGACACCCTAGTGGACTGTGGTCAGGCCTTGGTCTGTCTCGTGGCCAGGAGAGAGCCTCTTTTCTAGCTCCCTGACATCAGGGAGGTAGCTACCAGGGGTGCCCTGGGGGCCACCTCAGGGCTCGGGACCCAGCTCCCAGTCTCGGCAGGAAGGCCCGCCTCCCATGCAGCCCTCAGTCAGGCTGACACCACGGCGACTGCGGAACTGATGGGACTCAGTTCCAAGGTGAGCCCACCTCAGACCCCCTGGCAGGCAGCTGTTACCTGGTTCCAGGGTCACCTGCTCAGCCAATGGGACACGGGCGCGGCACCCCCAGAGCAGCTGTTCTCTTAGGCTCTGCCGCCACCTCACGTGCCCCGACCAGCTCCCTCTCCAAACGCCCCGGTCAGGCCCAGACACCCGCACCACTCAGGGACTGGCGACACCCCTGGGCCTACCCATGATCGGTTCCCCTGTGCCTTCAAGTATGACAGCCCCAGGCTGAAGAGAGGCCAGGGCTGAGGTCCTTGTGCCAGCCTCAGTCCCCGCTCCTGAGACCTGGCAGACAGGACGGTCGGTCCCTCCAGGGCTATCCTGGACTCTGGAACTACAGGGAGCCCTGCACGTCAGCAGGCCCCAGCTCAGTGTCCCTGGCTGGCCCATGTCCTATGGGAGTGGCCTGTGGCCCAGGCCAAGACCGGTGCAGGGCTGGGACCACTCATGCCCACTGGCCACCGACGCCTCCCCTTGGTGCCTGTGCCTGCCCGACAGGTGGCTATGCTGGTGGCACATGGCCTGCCCGTGTCTGTGTGTGTCTTCGGTCCTTGGAGCAAAAGTGAGGGGGGGACAGGGCACCCCACCTGGGTTAGTCCTGCTCACCTATGGCTGGCCACCTCATGGCCCCCAGACACCTGCCAGACCAGGGGAGGAGTCCGAGTTAGAGGGACAGCAGCTGCCACTTCTCCTAGCGCTTGGTTTCCCCTCGCCCAGCCCTACCCGCCAAGGTGGCAGATGTGGTCATGGCCAGAACGCCCTCTGGGAACTGGGAGTGGGGTGGGGATTGCCACATCCAGCACGTGGGGGGCCCAGGCACCTGCTGAGCCACGGCAGTCTCTGCACACCTGAGGCCCAGGAGTCCTGAGCTCCCGGGGTCCTGCGCCTGCCGGGTGCTGGTCTGCTCCGCTGGACCCCCTCCAGGTGCTCGGACCAACCCCAAGCACCAGGCTCTCTCCTGGCAGCCCCGGGTGTGTGAGCCCGCCAGGCGGGCACCCCAGGCCCTCGCCTGCTCACAGAGCCTGTGCCCGGCCATGCTGCAGGGGCTGGGAGTAAGCAGGCCCAGTCAAGGGCCAACTAGCCGAGAGCTGTGCTCGGCAGGACCACGCCTGGCCGGGCCTGTGCTGGGAGATGGGCGGGCTCTGGCTGGGGCCTTCCTGGGCGCCATCTCTGCTGTGGGCTGCTGCAGCATCAGACACCTGGGGAGGGCCAGGCCCGACTTCGCAGGCGCGCTGCATTTCAGCCCCCAGAGTTCAGGACCGAACCATGGAACCGGCTCTCAGATGGTAGGGGCTGGCATCATGGAAGTCAGGGCTCTCAGATGGTAGGGGCTGGCATCATGGAAGTCAGGGCTTGGAGGCGGTAGAGGTGGGCGGCCAGAAGGTGTGTTAAGGCCACAGCCAGTGGCATGATTCCTGGTGCTGAAGTGGGGTCCCAGGAGGGCCGGCCCCTCATCCACCTGCCCTCTTTCTGTCCCTGGGCTCCCTTCCTTGGGCTGTCAGAGGGACAGAGAGGAGGTGGGGAGGGCCCACCTTCACCACAGGTCTTGCCTGGAGCCCTTGCCTCTGAGCTCTGGATAGGAGGGTGCCTGGGCCCCAGCATCTGTGGCTGTCTGTCTGCTGGACAGGCACAGCGCACACAGCAGTAGGAGGCCCTGGAGTGGGGACCCTGGGCCTTGGCCTGGCCCCCCACTGCAATCCTGCTGGGAGATGGGGCAGGCCAGCGTGCAGGAAAGGACCACAGAACAGTCTGCAGCCCGGCCCTGCTGTGTCGCTCCTTGGGGCCCAATCGCCATCCGGTGGCGGGAAGTGGGGCTGGTGACCCAGGCTCCTGGTGGCTAGGACCCCTGGGGCTCTGCTGCAGTCCCATCAGGACCCTAGTGGTATTCCAGGGGTCTCCACACGCTGGCGGGACCTGGCTGCAGAGGCTGCTGCGTCGTCAGCCCACGTAGCCAAGCATGGCTCCGCTGCCCCTGGTGCAGCTGCAGCAGGGCCTGGGCTGGCACCTCGGCACCTACCCCGCCGGCCTACCTGTGCTGCAGGAGCAGGGGTGGGGCAGGCAGGGCCGCGCGCAGTGGGCCTGGGCTGTGGCGAGCAGGCTCTGTGTGGGTGGCAGGCACCTGCCCAGGGCGAGGGAGTGCTGGTGAGTACGCACCCCTGCGGGCCCTGCTTTCCTCTCCAACTAAAGCCAGTGAGGGAGGCGGGTATCAGGGACCTGGGGAGGCAGGCCTGGGGCGCAGGGACAGGCTGCTCACACAGGCTGGGCTGGGCCTGCATGTCCTGCCTGGGCCTCTCCCTATGCCCACCTGCAGCCCCTGACACCCACGAGCTCTGGGAAGGGAGGCAGTCGCTGTGCACCCCCAAAACAGGCTGGCCTTGGGGACTTTCCTTCCTTTTTTTGGAGAGGTTTTTGATATAGGGCGCATGCACTCGCCAGAAAGACAGAGACAGACAGACAAACAGAAAACGAGGGAAAGTGAGAAAGCAAACCACCAAGTCCAGGACTTGAATCACGGTTGGCCATGTGGGAGTCCAGTGCCTTTAACCGCCATGCCACCTGCTGGTCCCCCTCTTCTTCATTCTTACGTAGGAGTGCTAGGCCAGAGGGAGGGGCGCGTGGCCCCGAGGAGGGAGCTCTGGGGTACTGGAGCTCTGGGTGGGGCCCGTAGCTCCAGGACCTGCCTGAGCCCCACTTGGAGGTGCGGCCAGACTCTCCAACACAGTCCCAATCCCCCACAGAGGGTCAGCGTGGCCTCTGCACCGGCCTTCCCAGGCCGAGCTGCTGGACCAGGCCTTGGGGCTGGGCCTTCGGCAGGCCCTGAGGGGCAGGTGGAGTCCAGGGGCCTGGCACTCAGGTGCCACTAGCTCCAGCCAGCTTCTGTCCCCAGGGAGGGAACAACGCCGGCCACACCGTGGTGGTGGACGGCCAGGAATATGACTTCCACCTGCTGCCCAGCGGCATCATCAACACCAAGGCCGTGTCCTTCATCGGTGAGTGTCCCGGGCCACACCGGGTGAGGCTGTGGGAGCCCAGGGGCTGGGCGCTGCCAGTAACCAGGGGCCCTGATGCAGAAGGGGAGCCGGGCTGGCAACCGTGACCTGAGAGCCGAGAGCCCGAGCCGTGGTGGTGACCAGGGCTTGGCTCAGAGGAGGAGCGGGCTGGCAACAGCCCCGGGAACTGGCAGCGTGGCAGGTCCTGCTCCCAGGAGGAGCCTGCAGGGAGCCCATCCTTATGGCCAAGACGCCAGCCGCAGGCTCCCACAGGCCTCAGGGCAAGGGCGCCCTACGTGTGCGCACTCATCTGTGCACGGAGAAGCAGACACGTGTGCATCTGTGCACGAGCTGAGGCATGTGCAGGAGGCAGGCCGCTTCGCTACGGGGCTGGGGCTATGCTTTCCCCGACCTACGGGGCCAGTGGCCACCATCTCCCACCGGGCTGCAGCTCCAGCTGTCTGACCGGCTCCTGTCCTGGCTAGAGGGACCTCTGCGCTCCCCTCCTCAGGGACCTCCCCACCCACCAGTGACCTGCTCAGTGCCCAGTCTCCAGCCTCCAGGACTTGTCCCCCCTCTTCCTCTTTCCTGGTCAGAACTCTCCATTCTGGCCTCAGTTCTCTGACCAAGACAGCCCTGCTCAGAGAAGGTGCCTTCTCAAGGACATGGCAAGGCCACGTTGTGACTTATCTGTCCCCAAAACACACGTGCTCACCCCTGCCAGGGTGGCACAAGTCTGGCCACTGAACAGGCAGAGGAGGGACAGTGCCAGCAAGGCCACGGAGCTGCCTGCGGCCAGGGGCCCGAGAGCCTCTCCGGCAGGAGAGACCCACCTGGCCCTCCCAGCGTGCTGCCCACCACGCTGCCCAGTGGGCCCTAGGCACACCACTCTGGGCTGTGCGGCGGGCCTTCCCTGCCGCAGCCTCGGTCTCTGGAGCCGGGCTCTGCCTGGTGGGAAATGATGCAGCACTTGCCCAGGTGGCGTCTCAGGGCAGGGCAGAGCTGGCTCCACGGTCAGCGTGGCTGGGGGTGCCCTCAAAGGCTTGCCTCACAAGGGGCAGTCTGTGCCAGGGTTCACAGTCACCCCGCGGCTTGCGACACTCCTGGGCCTCTGCCACATGGTTATTTCAGGCCATCGTGGCATTTAGGTGACCTTTTGTGCTCGCCGTGGCTTACGTGGCCTCTAGGCTACGCCCCTCTGCAGCGGCGTCCTGACTCCGTGAGCCCACGTAGTGGCCAGCTCTGCCAGGGACCGAGGGAGGGGGCCCTCTGAGGCCACAGGTGGTCTCTCGGAGCTTCCCCTGGTCACACTCCCGTGCTGGGGACCCAGGGCAGTCCCCTTCCCTCTCGGCCTCAGTGTGCCATTCAGGTCCCACTTGGGCTCTCCAGACAGGAACGCACCCCCGGGAAGCCTTTCTCCAAGCACCTACTTTCCCGTGGTCATGACACTTGAGTACAAGCCAACAGCTTACGGGGGACGCAGTCGAGGGGCTGCAGCGCGGTCAGTTCAGGACGCGCCACCCTCCCGGCCGTCCCCTGTGCCTTTGCTGGTGGCCCCTCTAGCCAGCCCCAGGCCCTGCTAGCTCCTGCTGGCTGTGGGTGAGCTGTTCCCATTTTCGGCCTCTCCCTGTTGGCCTCCTCCAAAACGCCAGGACAGTGGCTACCCAGCGTGGGCCCTGCAGCCCGGCCTCTTCCCGCAGTCACACTCCCCGTGTCTTTTCTTGGAGGGATGCCCCTTCCACATCGGTGCTGAAGGACACTGTCGCATGCACGTGCCTCATGTCCCTCTCCAGAAGGGCATCTCAGTGGCTCCGAGTCCGGGCAGTTGGGCATAAGCCACCGGGCACTTCCCCACGCAGGTTACTGAGGGGCCCTCTCTGCTCCTTCGGGTAAATTCCAGGGGGCACGACAGTTGCACAGCCACCGCGTGTCAGGCTTGGTCATCTTCCCCAACGCAGCCCTCTGACAGCCCCAGCCATGGCCGCTGCCACTTGAACTCTGTCCTCGTGAGCGCAGCCCGGGAGCTACTGGGCCGTCCTCATCCTGTGACGGCTGGCCCCACGCCTGGCCTGGGCTGGGACATTCCACGGCACGGAAGGCCCCGCCATGCATCCCTCTGTGACACATGGCTGCTTCTGTCTGGGCTGTCATGAACAGTGTGCCCTGCCAACGCTGCCCCACGCTGCCCAAGGGTGGCTGATGGCCTCCTGCCTTTCTGTGCCCTGCCCACGCCGACCCACAGTGCCCGAGGGTGGCCGACGCCCTCCCGCGTTTCTGTGCCCTGCCCACGCCGACCACGCTGCCCGAGGGTGGCCGACGCCCTCCATGTATTGCAGGCAATGGGGTTGTCATCCACCTGCCAGGCTTGTTCGAGGAAGCAGAGAAGAACGAGAAGAAAGGTAGGTCCGCTCCCGCTGGGGCTGTCCCGGTGCAGCACCTGGCCAGGGTTTCTCCGGAGGGGCAGAGGTAGCTTCCCCAAGGAGGCGCGTGGCCCCAGCCCTGTGTAGTGCGAGTGGCAGGCCAGGACGCCCAGAAGCCCCAGAGTGGCAGCTACCTCGGCCTGGTCCAGGTGGCACTGAGACCTGGGTTCAGGGAGTCTGGGAAGGGCCCAGGCCCTAGTATTTGACACACGGCCCTAGGAGACGCCCACTCGTGCTTGGGGGCCACTGGGTCAACTGTGGGTCCTGGGCCTCAGTGGGCGTCTGGCTGGGCACGCTGGCGAGTGAGCAGGGAGGCCTGTGGTGCGCCCAGCTGAGGTGGCTGCCCTGCAACGGGGCAGACAGGAGCTCGAGGGGCTGGAAGGGAGCAGGGCTGGGCTAGGGCTGGGATGAGCAGAGCATGCGGGCCGCCAGGGGGAGCCAGGCAGGCTGTGCAGAGGAGGGTGGGCGTGCCTGGGATCAGTCCTGCTCCTCAGCCTCAGGCATGTGGGCAGATACCTGGGGCAGGGCCTCTGGCAGGGAGGGGGCAGGGAGGGGCTGTCTTGCTCCCTGTGCGCCCTGCCCCAGAGCAGTGAGCGGCCCCACCACGGCCC